TAGACCACCTTTTCTGGGATGTAGGTATGATGTTTGTGGGGGGTGGTCTTGGGTTACACCCCTTCTGTGATGTATGTATGATGTATGGAGGGGTGGTCTTGAGCTCCAGGGCAGGGAATTTAAAATGTCTGTATAAGGGCAGGCACACCTTTGTTCTGGGTCCTCCTCTGTCCTCCTGCGTGTGAGGGGAGCACCCTGTTGCAACAGCTTTAATAAAGATCAGGCTTACTAGCTGCTTTGCTTCTCAATATTCTCGGTGTGATGGCCTGGGAATCCGATTCAGAGGGTGAACCGGAGGAATCCCAGCCTGCACAGGAGTCCCCGCCTCCAGGGCCGGCTGAACTGGGGCAGGGCCTTGATTCTGAGGCGCCTACACCTGTGCCGGATCCTCAGGAGCAGGCACCAGGTGAATCCATTCTGGCTCCAGAGGTGGTTGAGGACTCAGTGCCTACAGGTGAGTCTCCCCCTGGGCCCAGTAACCCTTCAGCCTCTCCTGAACTGCAGAGGCTCAGGGCAGAGAGGCGAAGGGAACTGGTTTCTCCCAGGAGGAGTGCTCGCCTTAAGGCCAGGAGAGGCGGGTCTCCTGGGGGCTGGGACCGCCCCTGGCCTCAGAGAAGATAAAGGCCAGTCAGCCCGGTCCCAGGTTGCGGGAGCAACGTCGTTGTGGAGTACCTGTTCCTGCCCGGACCCAGACCTGACCCTCCAGTGTTCCTGTCCCCGCCCGGCTTCCTGCTTTGGACCTCGCCCCGCTCCTTGTGAACTGTTTCCAGGCTAGTGACCCAGGACCACACTTTGACTACGCCAACGGTAACCTTCCCCCCGGGACCAGCACAGTTTGCTCCCACCACACCCACACTCCCCCTTCGTAGGGGTGTGTTCGGGAAAAGCCAGAAGCCATGGCTTACCAGGCAGCTGCGCTGGTGGCATTGGCCCAGGAGAACCAGGCCTTGACTCACACCGTGCAGCAGCTCAGCAATGCGGTTACGGCACTTCAGCAGCGGTTGGACGCCCTACCGGCTCCTGTGGCCGACGCCCCAGCTCCAGGCAAGTACCCAGTGGCCTTGCCAGAGAAATTTGATGGGGCCCCGGCCAGCTTTCCCATGTTCCTCGCCCAGGCCAAGTTGTATATTCAGGGGCGAGCCCGGAACTTCCTGACGACTGCACCAAGGTGCACTTTTGATCAGTTTGTTAAAGGACCAGGCGGCCAAGTGGGCATTGCCGCTGCTCAGGCAAGACTCCCCCTTGCTGACAGACTATATGGGGTTTTGCAACCATTTGGAGGCTGCGTTCGGCAACCCCCAGAAGGAGAGTCAAGCCAACCGGGCAATTAGGCGTTTGAAACAGGGCAAGTCCACTGCGGCCGCCTACACCATGGAATTTCGGCTGTTGGCGCAAGACTTGTCTTGGAATGACTCTGCACTTCGGGACCAGTATCTTGAGGGACTGTCGGACGAGATACTGGACCAGCTGGCCATGATGGAACGCCCCACCACGCTAGACGCCCTCATTCAACGGAGTCTACAGATAGACGATCGGCTGGAGGACCGTCGTCAGGCCCGGGGCCGCCGGTACTTCCAGTTCTCGGCGCCAGTTTCTACCAGCAGCTCCACGGCCACAGCCGAGTCATCGGAGGAGCCTATGCAGCTCGGGGCAGTGCGGCCACGCCTCTCCCCCGTGGAGAAGACGCGGCGTCGGGAGGGGAATCTATGTCTCTACTGTGGCGGAAGCGGACACTACGCCCGGTCCTGTCCTGAGAAACGCCAGCCACAGGTGAAACCGCCAACCCCAGTAGCTGATGGCCCTGGCTACCTGGGGTCCCAAACAGCACAGAATGGGCCTGCACCAATGGAATTGCAACACCTTATGGTCCTGGTACGTTTATACCCTCCAGGTGGACCCTGGATTGTTACCCATGCTCTGGTAGATTCGGGGGCAACCCGCTCCTATATGGACGCTGCTTTTGCTGCCCATCATCAGGTGCCACTTCAGAACAAGCCAGAACCGGTACAGGTGGAGGCAATTGACGGACGGCTCCTGCGTTCAGGTGCCGTTACTCAGGAGACCCAGCCCTTGGTCCTGTGTCTCCAGCAGCACCGGGAGATGCGAACTTTGGACATTGCCTCCATGCCCCGGTTCCCCCTGGTGCTCGGGATGGACTGGCTGGAGGCTCACAATGTTCAGATTGACTGGGTCAAACGGACTGTGCACTTCCCAGACCCATGTTCCCATGCTCAGTCCGAGATGCTAGCAGACGCGCCCACTGAGGAGGCTGCATCCACGCTCCCTACCGAGTACCGGGACTACCAAGACGTGTTCGAGGAACAGGGGGCAGACCAGCTGCCGCCGCATCGGTCTTTTGACTGTGGCATAGACCTCCAGCCCGGAGCGCCCCTGCCGGTGAGTCGCTTATACTCTCTAACAGAGCCAGAGCGCGAAGCTTTGCAGGACTTCCTGCGCAAGAACCTGGAGCGTGGTTTCATTAGGCCTTCTACCTCGCCCACCGCTGCCCCAGTGCTCTTCGTTAAGAAGAAATGTGGGGAGCTTAGCCTTTGCCATGATTACCGGGCCCTGAACAAAATTACCATCCCAGACCGGTACCCCTTGCCCCTTAGTTCGGAGTTGCTGGAGCGGGTGCAAGGGGCGCAGGTGTTCACCAAGCTTGACCTCCGGGGGGCCTACAATTTAATTCGGATCCGAGCCGGGGATGAGTGGAAGACAGCATTCGGGACCCAGTATGGGCAGTTCGAATACCTGGTTATGCCCTTCGGATTGTGCAACACACCCGCTGTGTTCCAACGGTACATCAACCACGTGTTCCAGGACTTGCTAGACAAGTACGTGGTGGTGTACTTGGATGACATTTTGGTTTTCTCCCGTGACCCGGCTCGCCACAAGGGTCATGTCCAGACCGTGCTGCAGCGCTTGCGGTAGCACCGCCTGTATGCGAAGCTCAGCAAGTGCGAGTTCCATCAGCAGTCAGTGGACTTCCTTGGTCACCGACTCTCTCCAGACGGGGTGCAGATGGATCCAGGGAAGGTGGCAGCGGTTCAGGAATGGGCGGCACCTCGGAACCGCAAGGACCTACAGCGTTTCCTGGGGTTCGCCAACTATTACCGGACCTTCATTGCAGATTGTGCTCATCGCACAACCCCATTGACCCGGCTACTGCGCCCCAAGATGCCGTTTTCCTGGGACAAGGAGGCAGAGGAGGCGTTTCAGGGGTTGAAGGCTTGTTTCCAGAGAGCGCCGATCTTGCAACATCCTGATCCCGCTCGACCCTTTGTGGTAGAGACCGACGCCTCCAGTACGGCCCTCGGTGCCGTCTTGTCTCAGCAGTACGGACCTGATGCGCCACTCTTACCCTGCGCCTTCTATTCCCGCCAGCTCCTTCCAGCGGAGCGTAACTATACTGTATGGGAGCGGGAACTACTGGCCATCAAGGTGGCCTTTGAGGTCTGGCGCCATCATCTTGAGGGGGCACGACACCCGGTGGAGGTGAGAACTGACCACCGGAACCTGGAGTACCTCCAGACCACCTGCAAGCTGAACCAAAGGCAGATTCGATGGGCGTTGTTCTTTTCCCGGTTCCAGTTCCGGATCCGCTACATCCCTAGCTCCCAAAACCAGAAGGCGGATGCCCTGTCCCGGAAACCTGAAGACAATGCAGACACGGTACAGCAAGCAGTACCCACCACGATCCTACCACCGGCTGCATTCCTGGCCACCCAGGAGGCTGAGCCACTGCAGGCTCGGGTGCGGGAACAGCAGCGGGTCGACGCTTGGGCCCAGGAACGACTCCGGGAACTGGCCGAAGGGTCCTGCCCTCAGTATCCGGGGCTGGTCCTGCATCAGGGTCTTCTGCTGCACCACGGTCGCCTGTACATCCCGCCAGGGCCACTGCGGGCTGAGGTTCTCCGGATGACCCATGATGCCCCAGCAGTGGGGCACTTTGGGCGGTATCGGACCACCCATCTGGTAAGCCGTGAGTTTTGATGGTCCCGCCTGAAGGCTGACGTGGCTCGCTACGTCGCTGGTTGTGATGTCTGCCGGCGGGCCAAGGGCCCTACCGGGCGACCCCCCGGCCTACTTCAGCCATTGCCGGTCCCACCACGTCCTTGGCACACGGTTTCGCTGGACTTTGTAGTGGACTTACCCCCGTCTCGTGGCTGTACCTGCCTTCTAGTTTTCTCCGACCATTTCACTAAGATGGTGCACTGTGCCCCCTGTCCATCCGTACCCACAGCTAAGGAAACCGCTCCGCTGTACCTTCAGTATGTCTTCCGCCTGCATGGCCTACCTGAGCGTGTGGTGTCCGACCGGGGTGTTCAGTTCACATCCCGGTTCTGGCGAGCATTGCACCAGACCCTCGGGACGGAGGTCCGTCTCTCATCAGCCTACCACCCACAGACCGATGGCCAGACGGAACGGGCGAATGCGGTGCTGGAGCAGTACCTCCGGTGTTACTGCAGCTACCAGCAGGATGACTGGGTCGACCACCTAGCATTGGCGGAGTTCGCCTACAACAACGCGGTGAATGCGTCCACCCAGCAGACCCCATTCCAGGCCAGTTACGGTTATCATCCACGGCTGTTTCCAGATGTGCTGCTGGCATCCGTGGTCCCTGCGGTGACGGAGTGGCTTCAGGAGCTCCAGTCCCAGCAACAGCTATTGATGGAGCAACTGCGCCAGGCCAAGGAGGCGTGCAAGGCCCAGGCCGACCGTCACCGTCAGGTGGGGCCGGAACTCCACATCAGTGACCTGGTACGGCTCTCCACTCGTCACCTCCAGCCCTCTCGACCTTCGCGGAAGCTGGACGCCCGTTTCACCGGCCCGTTTCCTATCGTGGACCAAGTCTCACCTACCAATAGGGAACCCACGTAAGGACTCTATATGGGCTCTTGGATACCCCATAAGGGGGGGAAAGGCAGATTTTGTTTACAACAGAGGCAAACCACAAAATGGCACCTCCCCTGCCCAGCCAGGGAAGAAGGAGGGAATGAAGATCTATAGCTCAGTTGGTAGAGCATGAGCCTCTTAATCTCAGTGCGATGCGTTTGAGCTGCACATTGGGCGAAAGATTCCTGCTTTGCAGGGTGTTGCACTAAATGAACCTCCTGTTCCTTTCCAACTCTATGATTCTATTATCGATTCAGGGGCGTTGGAAGGGGGGGCGGTCCGCCCCGAGTGCCATCCCTGAGGGGGTGACAAAAAGGCACGCCGCGGGGGGCTCGCCCTGCCAACCTCGCATGCGGCGGCTCGACCATGCATGACGGATGGCCCTGCTGCTGCCACGCCCTGTTTCTGCAGAGATCAGCTGGGCAAGAGGCCCACCCAGCTTCATAACTCTACCTAGCATGACATGTGGCATCGAGTTCAGGGAAAGTGGGTGTGGTTTGGGAAAAACTAACCCCTGGGCTAATGAGGAGGTTTGCACGCTAGATTGGGCCTGTGAGCTGGAGTTTGCCCACCTTGGAGCTGTAGAGTTACCTGCCGCTACATCACCACAGCCACCCAAATAGCGCCCCCTTCAGGTGTCTTCCGCAGTCATTTGTGCTCCACCCACAAATGAATGAACTGCCCTCATACTCTAAGCAGGGGGAAAGGGGCAAACTTCCCAGAAGATCCTGGGGTGCGATTTTGGGCCTCACCCCCAGACCTTCAGCGTCATGAGTTTTTGAGCTTCTCCTGACCCCAGGGGGGGAAATGTGACAGCACTGGAGCGACATTCCCCAGCTGCAAGACAAACATGGAGCGGAAACCTGTTGCATTCTTAGGATTATCTCATTTCTAGTCTCAGGAAGCTTTGCCAGCAGACCAGAGGGTTGTCACAGATGCCCTGGGGGGCTGACGGTAACCCTTTGAAATCAGGACATTTTGTTTGCCATGCACTTCCTCGTCTAGTCCCCGACCCCTGCAGAGAGGAGGCTAGAGCAATGGCCTCAGAAATGGACAAATTTCTCAGATTTGGTTTCGCCCCCCTCCTTTTTCTGTTTTTCCCTTTCTTCTGTTCAGTTCCCTGTATTTCTGCAGCAATTTGTGATTCAAACAAACACTCAGGAAAATGTGTAAGCATTTTCATGGCATTCCTTGCTTTGCAGGGGGTTGGACTACTAGATGATAACTAGTCAAAATTGCATGGAAACATGCATACATTAGGTAACATGCACCCAAAAATGTGCTCAAATGTTCATGTGAACTTAAAAAAAAAAAATATGATGCAAATGTATGCAGCAAACTGAATTGAAGCATGGAAAAATTAGAAACTGAGAAACCAAAACTGACAGATTTTCCCCTTCCTAGTGAAGGCTGCAGCTCTGCCTCACCAATGCTTTGTAATTATAGGATTTGCTTCCATAAAGTCCAAACCTGAGCACATTTTGGGAAGTGTTTGCTAGACTTGCCTGTGGACTTGCCTCGTTTGTGGCTCAGAGGCAAGGAGGAAATCACATGAGACAATAACTGTTCTATTTTACAGATCCCTCGTTCAAGCTTTTGCATGAACCTCCCCACCCCAAACACACACTGCTTCAAAATGCCTAGCAATGCATGTTGCCCCCTCGCCTCATAATTCATGAGTCAAATTCCTAGCAGTCCATGAATTTATATGAACACGTTTGACTATCTTTGTCCTAATATGCGAGAGGTCCTCCTTCACTGCCAGACATGAGATTGTCCAGAGCCAGTGTCCTTATCTGTAAAACGCCACTATTTTTGGATCCCACTGAGAGCGATGGGATGGAACGGAAGAACATTTTGAACGGACCAGACCATTGAAAAAGCTGCCGTTGGATTTGTGGCTTCGACTTTGGTTTGGTGCTTTCGTAATAAACATGACCCCCAACGCTGGACAAACAAACCCAGGGAACATGATTGTCACATGCCTGTTCCTAGGCCACAGATCTGTGCGTGATCAACACTTGCTCCCGCCTCTGGCATGCTGCCCACAGTCCTTCACTGCTTGCTGCTGTCCCTGGCGTCCCCGACACAAAGTCCACAGGCTGGCAGAGAGCGAGGCCCACCCTTGGAAATATAGCTCACAAACATGGAGTAGCAGCAGAAAAATACACTGAGCTAAGAAAAGCCTGCTGGATCAGGCCAAAGGGGCCTATCTACTCCAGCATCTTCTTCTCAACAGCAGCCAACCAGATGCCACCAAGCAGGATTTGAGCACATGAGCAATTCTCTCCCCTCCTGAAGTTTCCAGCAACTGGTATTCAGAAGCATAGCTGCCTCCAGCTGTGGAGGCTGAGCAAAGATCCTCCAAGTGTTTTCCAAGCACAGTCCCAGATTTACACAATCTGTCCTGGTTTCTGATTTGACCCTGGAATGTCCCGCTTTTCCTTATGACGTCCCTATTTTCATCAGAGAAACACTGGAGGGTATGGAGTTATGCGACCCCCTGAGCCAAGGAGATAAGCAACTATACAACCTTCAGAAGACATCTGAAGGCAGACCTGTATGGGGAAGTTTTTCAATGTTTAACGTGTGTGTGTGTGTGTGTGTGTGTGTGTGTGTTGGATGCCACCCAGAGTGGCTGGGGCAACCCAGTCAGATGGGTGTGTATAAATAAAATCATTATGATGATTATTATGGAATAGGACGTCCCTATTTTCATCAGAGAAATGTTGGAGGGTATGAGAGCATAGCCACCGTCCTAAATTAACCACAGTCTCCAACGACCTTCATTCCAGGGAGCTGAATGTTGGGTAAGAGTGTGTTAAGATTTCTCCGTTAACAAGTGGAGTCTCCCACCACTTGGAGACATGAGCAACAGTGTTGTTACAGGAGATTTTCTCTCCCCTCCCCCATATTAAATATTGGGACAATTTGCAACTCTCCCTGGCAAGTCAGGACAGTTATAGTCCGTGAAAGGCCAATGGCTTCTCAACCAACTACCTGGCTGGAGTGTCTTCTCCTCCTTAGAAGTGAAAGGAGCCGTCTCCTCGGATGTCGGCTGTCCTGACACGCCAAGGAATGATGTAATGCCTGGCTCAGCTCACCCAGCCACAGCTGGGGAAATCCACTTGGGCTGCTCTGCTAGAGAAAAGCTGTGTCACAGAGAACACCCTTCCTGCGAGCTATTGGCAAGTTAGGTAGAAGAAGCCAAGCAGGCCTGCTTGCCTGATCACGAAACCCCAAGCTCATTATGATCCAAGGAGAGCTGTTCCACCCCATCTGATGGCCAACCATCTGCAGTGCAGCAGGAGACCAGACACAGTAGCAAAAGAGTCCTGCTGGAGCAGGCCAATGGTCCATCTCAGAAGAGTCCTGCTGGATCAGGCCAATGGTCCATCTCAGAAGAGTCCTGCTGGATCAGGCCAATGGTCCATCTACTCCAGTATCCTCTTCTCAGACCCTCCAAGTGTCCCTGTTTTCCAGGGACAGTCTCGGATTTACAGAAGCCATCCCAGTTTCTGATTTGATCCCAGAATGTCCTGCTTTTCCTTAGGATGTCCCTATTTTCATTGGCAAAATATTGGAGGGTATGGTAGGATGTCCCTATTTTCTGAGAAATGTTGGAGTTATGTGACCCCAGAACCAAGGAGATAAGTAACTATAAAACATTTAGAAGACTTCTGAAGGCAGTTTTTTAAATGTTTTCATCAGTGCTCTTTTTCTGGAAAAAGAGGTGCCGGAACTCACCATGAATGCCTCTTATGATTAGGGGTGCCATATTCCCAAAAATGAAAACCCAGACCAAGTTATTGAGCTTTTGTTTGTTTGTTTGTTTTTGGTCAAAGTTGTTGAGCATCTTGCCCCCCCCCCAAAAAAAACCCCACACACGTTTTGGGGCTTTTCTGGGGTTTTTTTTTTAGCATCCTGCTTGACATATGTCCTGGTTTCCCCAGCCATTTTGCTGATTCACTGATAATCTGCCTCGATGCCGTTTTCAAGCCTGATTCCCGGATGCGTCCAGGAAAACCCAGACGTATGGCAGCCCTACTTATAATGGCAATGGCACCCACCTGAGAGAAACCAGAAATGAGTTCCAGTGAGTTCTGACTGAAAAAAAGCCCTTGTTTATATATATATATGTTGAAAGCTGCACAGAGTGGCCGGGGCAACCCAGTCAGATGGGCAGGGAATAGATGTTGTTGTTACTGTTGAATAGGATACCCCTATTTTCATCAGAGAAATGTTGGAGGGTATGTGTTCTCACAGTGGCCAACCAGATGCCCCCGTGGGAAACCCTCCAGCAGGATTTGAGCACAAGAGCCCTCGCCCCTCCTGTAGTTTCCAGCAACTGGTAGTTAGAAGTATTTCTGCCTCTGACTTTGAAGGCAGAGCGTAGCCATCATACCTAGTAGCCAACGCTAGCCTTATCCTCTTGTTGAAAAACAGAGAGGCGGTGTTATCCTCCAAGAAGGAACTGTGGCTCATTTAGCCGATGTGAGCTGCCTAAACTGGGGAATTAGGCCCTTCCCGCCCCACAGCCCCCAGCTGATCAGTTTTACTAAATCCCTTATCCCAAGGACAACACAAACACCACCACCAACGCTACTTTCTCCCCAAAAAAGCAGCTCAGCTCCCGGCCTCCATGTCATGCGCTTCTCTGCGCATGGATGCTGACCTTTCTCAGTAATGCCAAGCTGGGGCTAAAGTGCTTAGCCGATTATGCGCAGGGATAAAAAAGAAAGGCTGAGGGAGGGGGTGGCATTTGTGCAATTAGCTCGTTTCCCAAGTGGGGTGGGGTCCAGTTTTAGCGGTAATGCCAGACACTTTTTGCAACAGCAAGGGAAGCAAAGCTAAGCTTTGCCAGAAAATTGCTTTTATGTTCTCTACTCTACTCCTTTTCTCTGGCCTGGGTTGATTCAGAGCATCGCCTCTGACTGTCCCTGTTGCGACTGAGTTCTCTGTGAGTTTTGCATTCCCTTGTTTTTATAAAAAAGATTCCATGTGCAGGATCAGCTCATAAAGGTATTCATTTGGGGCAGATGCTGGGGGTGCATTTTTAACATGCTCTTAAGGCGTGCCTGTGATGCCCCAGACTTCTCTCGGGTCCTCTCCTCTGCTAAGGCAGGGGTGGGGACCCTCAGGCTGAATGTGCCCCCCCAAGTGCTGGCTGGCTGGCCA